TTTACTTTTATGATTTATTATGACGATTTTTCTCTTTTTTAAATATTAAGATAGTACCTTTCCGTTTAATGAACTATAAACGGTTGTTATTAAAAGAAATTATTACCATAAATGTATTAAGAGTTCTTATTTGAATTCTTAGGCCTTCAGATTTTGGAGCGCTTCTTTGGTTTTGGTAAAATTTTTTTTTCCATCAGATTTGGTTAAATTTAGCAACATTTTTTAAAATCGAAAGAAACTATGGAAAGTTTATCTAGTTTTAAAATATTTCTTTTAAATATTTTTAAAGGAAATGAATGAATAACTTAAAAGGAATAATAAAAAAATAACACTCATACAATCAGTGCAGCATATGCCATATATATATATATATATATTCAAACCCCTTTCTCAGTCCATGTAGATAGTATGGAGCATCCATAATTTTGAGTCCTTTATCAAAAGCCTGGAAGTTTAAGACCATTATCTCAGTTTTTCCTGATCCCACGAAGATAACACACCAGCAGGAAAGGAAGTGTATAAGGACTAGACTCAAATTGAAAATTTTTTTTCATTGTGATGTTGTGAGGTGTTTCAGGGTCTCCATAGGAAGCTTCTTCCTTTTTTTTGTATCTTCCTTTGACCATATTTGATAACTGGTAGAGCTTGAATGTTTATTGATCGCGTTTTATTTTTCCAATTGAGCTGGCTTTTCAAAACTGTCTTATTCCTTGGTGATATTTGGATGTTGCTGTCTTCCTTAGTTTTTCATCGGGATTCCTGTGTCCTCTTGGATGCCAGAGTGCTTACAGCTGGTCTTTCTATCTGTTGTGTGATCCCACTTTTGCTTTCACCTCATCAGTCTTGAATACTTTTTTTTTCTACTTCTCTCCGGCCACATTTCTGCAGCCCAAATGATATCCCAATGGCGTCCCAATGGTCGGTGTAGATCCATGATAGGTGGAAGCATAAAGCATTAAATTATATTATAAATATATATATATGTATATTTATAGTTTTTTTTCTTTAAACTGGTTTTGATTTATTTTCACCGATATTTTTAGTTGCTAGCTGATTTTAAAAATAACTGTTACCTATAATAGTTCTTGGTTTGTCTAAGCTTCGCTGTATTCAGTTATATTTCGAATAAAAGTTTTATTGCAAATCATTTAGCATGACATAGCGATGTTAATTGGAGATTTGAGCTAATTAACTGAATCCATTTAGCAAATATGGTTTAGACATATTTCAACATAAAAATCAGAATTTTGTTATAAAAAACGGATCGTTTTGTCTTTCTGTTTTGATCAAAGAATAAATCGGTTACATGGACAAGATTGACGAGCACATATAAATGCCCTACAACAAAAACAAGTCCCTTCGAATCTCATTCGTCCTTTCTTTATCAGTTTTAATGATTCATCCACAATATCATCCGATTTTTTATCTGAAATAATATGTGATATTATGGTATACATTTTATTTGTTTGCAATATGCAATGCTCATGGATCTTTCAAGATTATCAGAAAAAACGAGGAAGAGATTCTTCTTTTGCAGTGCTAACGATGAGAGAAATAATTATGAGCTACGATTAATATTTTGACATTTGAGTAAATAATATATATGGTCTTTCAGATACCCATAAAATTAATCAAACTTTAAAACTTAATTCTCAGTTACATTGCTTAAAGGGATTTAGTCAGCATGCTGCAGTTTGATTTTTTAGCATCTAAACGAAAGGTTAAAATTTTCTCATGGCTTCAAAAATCATAAAATAGTGATAAATAATACAATAGTAATCATAAAATCATAATTATAAAATAGAAATCATAAAATAAAATAGTAAATATATAAATCTCTTCTAAATTTAGTTGAAATTTATGGTGCAAAAGCTCTAAGGCTATTGTGGATAAATTTGCATCTTCTGGGAAAGTGGAAATCTGGGATGTCCCATATTAATGATCAGATATTTTAATGCTCTTGTAAACCGAATCATTTTTCAATAATTTTCATATTTGCAAATCAGACTTCCCATTTTTTGTTTCTTATCACCATTTCTGGTTCGATCATCTTTAATTTATCATTTATGTTGTATCAAATTGACTGCTTGCTAATTTTCGCGACTGTGTCCATAGCTACACTTCATTTTTGGTTACAAGTATAATTGCCATGCATAATCGTCGTAAAGTTTTTTAAGGAAAATTTCGGGAAATCTTTGCCAACATATTTTAAGCATGTAATTGCACGAGAATGCATCAGTTTACTTCACTGTTTTATTAACTTTGGTTAAATCTAAATTTCAAATCTAAAAATCATATATTTATTTAATAACCAATTCAAGTGTTTAAGTGTTGATTTTCTCTAGGAGTTATAAATTTCGATTTATTCGTTTTATTTATTTAAAGTATGCAATTGACCTATTTTGCATTTTATAAATCAATTGAAAGAAATCGCACAACGAGAGTTCCAGGCTAATAAAACAGCCAACCTAGGTCTTTTGTTCTTGATTTTCAAGATAAATCCAAATGCATGAATCCAAATTTGCTATTAAAGGATTTCAGGCTGCCTCTGAGCCTGGATTTAATAGAGCTTTTCCTACTCACTCTTTCATCTTTCGCTATTTCCGCGAAGGTTTAAAAAAAATTTTCCTAAAATCTTCATAAATGTCAACCACAGTCATATTCGAATATATTGAAAATATTCTATGAAAATGAGTTATATTATTGAAAAAGCTTAGAAATTAGATGCTTAATTAGTAGCGATAAACGAATATAAGATTCTAAGCAAACAAAGTTATATTTATATTTACACTCATTATATCAAATTTTAATAGAATTTGCGCTAAGCATACCGATCACTCCTACTTAAATTTCATTTTTGCTTTATTCTAAATTCATACAAAAATGCTAAGTTTGCCGAACTGAATTCGCAAGTACGCCATTCACCGCATTCCTATTAAGTTTTGAGTTTTAAGCGATGGAGGCATTTGCCGATGTTTTTGTTCATAACGAAAAGCAGGAATAGATTGGAAAAGACTGCGATGTGGCATGGAGATAATGGGTGAAGTTGCTTCGGAGGCACTTCCAAAAGCTACATTCATGGATAAAATGCTAAATTTTTGCCGGAGTATGCGGAAATAAAGCTGCAATTTTATCGCATCATGTTTCCCCATTTTCATCCAAAACGTAGATCCCATTCGGAAGTTTATTATTTTTATCATCATTATTATTGTTATCATTATTATATACTGCTAATATCAATACTGTTATTATAAATATTATTTTATCATTTTATCATTTTTAATTTTGTAGTATTTTATCGTTATTGTTTCAAAATTCATTTTTAAATTCAAAAGATTCGGTTTTTTAAATTACAATTTCAAATTGTAAAGCCACTAAAAACAAATGAAAAAATACCAATGATGGCTTAATTAATTTCACTGAAATTTACGAATATTCAAGAATATAATGACGAAATGACATTTTTACAAAAAACTTAGAAAATTCGTTTCAAGGAATTTAATAAATTATAACCTTTAATAAATAAATAATAAACATCCTCGCTGCACTTTCATGGATACCTTTAAAAGTCACAAAACTTCGAAAAGAAGTGCGACCGAGCTTTAAAAAAGTTATAAAATAGTAAATTCGAATCATTTGAAACTTTTTGGAAAAAAACTTACAAAAATAATCATCGTTAATTTGATATTTGAAATTGGCAAAACAGCATTCGCATATTATAAGAAGCAATATGAATTTATAAACCATAACGCAGCAAATGCATGAATTGAAATGAAATAAAGCATGAAAAATAATAGCAAGGAACACGCCCAATGCGACCAATCCAACTTTCGTCACTATCGAAAAACTTTTAAACTTACTTAAACAGTTTATGTAAAAACATTTTAAACCAATTTTTGCAGCAATCTTTTTATTTTAAACAGCCCAGTACAATGAGAAACAATTGATTGTCACAAAATAAGCGATAGAACATGAAGAATGTATTTTTAAAAAGATGGCAAATGAAAAAATAATATAAGAAAAAGCTAAAATTATAAGTTTCAATTAAAAAAACAAAATATCAAATACAGGAAAAACTTAATATCGGATAATATATCCAAGCAAATCAATCGAATTTTCACTTATTTCACCACTGATATTTTAAGATAAATGAACAACAAACACTCTTTTTTTCATAACTCAAGGATATGGCTAAAAAAAGAAAAGAACAATATTTTACAAGATCCCAGCATTCTTCAAACAGCAAAAATACAAATTTAAGCGAAAAATTCAGGATGAAATTTTCGCATAGAATTAATGAAGCGAGAAACTTATTTTATGAGCAAATATTCAAAATTAGACTAAAAATGATTCCAATTAAGAAAACTTAAGATAAAATTGGAAATTGGAGAATAATAAATCAGCAGTAAAAAAACAGATTAAAAAATAAAATGATAAAAGAGAAAATTAAAGAATCCTGAAAGTCATTGAATACTCTGAGTAATTTCTCGATTCCACTTTTTTTGCTTTAAATAAAAAGTGTTCGACAGTATAAAATGAAAGAAAACAATGCCAAGATTTAAAATAAACAACTTTTACTATTCATAAAGAAATCTAGGAAAAAAACGAATTTAATCATCGAATTTAAAATTAAAATGTGAAAATTTAGTAAAAATTTAGTAGAAATTAAAATTCACCTTAAATTAACCACTTGGAAAGAAATTAGATGAAAACGTTCAAGGCCTCAATATCTGGAAAAATGACCATGAAAAAACAAAAAATGAAATTACGAGACTATATATCACTGATCTTTGGCTAGAAAAATGAGGATAAAAATGTATATATAATCTCATAATTTTATATTACTTTTTTAAATATTTTCCATATAAGATAAGAAAATATTGTTTTTTAAAAACAAACAATATTTTGTTACGATTAGATAAACAGAAAACATAAAGCTAAATGCATTATGAAAGTCTTGCATTGCGAACATTAGCATTTACGCTCGATATGATATTACATCAGAATTCCTTTCTAGAAATAGGAGAACGAGTATGAGGCAATGCAGGTCGCGCAAACTGACCAGCACCAGGCATAGCGTATTCTGTGGATTCATTCTAAAATATTAGGTTATTATTTAATAAGAAAAATTCATTCAACTCGATTTTTAATTAAAATAAAATATTAAAAACGCAAAATGATTTTCTTTTTAATTTTAAAATGATAAGCATAAATGAGTGAAGAAATTTAAATGTTCTTTTGTATCTTACCGAATCTTCATTTGATAAGGAAGAAAATGGGCTTTGATATGCGCCGCTGTTTTTTATACTACCTTCGACAGAACGTTCGCTCCCAACTATAAAAAAATAGTCTGAAAAAATGGCAAAAAAGAATTTCAGAGCCGAAAAGAATTTATAAACGTGATGTAAACAAAAAATGGAAAAGATATTTTGATTGATATTAAAATAATTTCTATTACTTTGGAGATTTTCACTAAAATAACTGGAATCCATTTGGGCATCCATATCAGTGTCTGCAGCATCAGAACCTTCTTCCATTTTATCAACTATAAAAAAAATGAATTTCCATCAAAAATTAAAAAAGAAATAAATGAAATATACTTTTTGGATATCAGCCATAGTCCCAACAGGTTTATACAGATTGATACTATGACAACATAGGCAATAATGTGACAATACAGAATTTATAACCGATTTCATGCACAACCTACTGACGAAAAACAAATTATTTTTTGAAACCAAGTCTTTCTATGTGCAAATCCTTTCTATAAACAAATTTTTAAAATAAGGACATTGGAATGAACATTAAAAATCAATTTTTTTAATTGTCCTTTTTTTTCGTTCATTCATGAAAGGTACTGAATTATTACCTTGTAAATCCGATCGAGCAGATATGGGTCTTTCTTCCGACCATCCGGTTGATTCTATTTCAACATTTGATGACATACTTGCTAAAGTTTTTAAAATAAAAATTCATGAATATGAAGAAGAACACTTATCATAAAACATTTTTAAACTTTATTAGATTTAAAAAAAAAAAAAACTAACGGCTAACTGCAGCTGAAGTAGGAGTTGGTGTTATGCTCTTAGGTACTGACATTCGATTAATAAGCGCAGTCATATGCTTATCTTCTTCGGTATTCCTTACCGTTTCAGATGCCACCAATGCCCTATAAAACGATATAATTTTTAAAAAATTAATAAGCGATGAAAAATTATAGGAAAATTGTTATTTCAGAGAATATCGAAAAAATACCGGCACGATTCAAGGCTCCGTGTTAAATCTGCTTCTAATGCTGAACATGCACGTCGATTATCTGCACGCATTTCCGCCGATTTTCCTCGAATTGACAGCAATTCGCCAACAACTGAATAAAAATTCATAAAAATTTTTATTCATAAAAATAATCAATAACATTAAAAATTAAAAAAAAAGAAAAAAATTTTTACGAGAAAAAAAAGTTTCAACTTCAGCGTTTTGTTCTATGGCATTTTTAGAAGAAAAGTTCACTCATACTCCAAGCAATTTTTAAAACTTTACTGCAATCTATCAACACCCAACTGAAAATGACAAATTCAAAAATTGAGACAATCAATAAAAAAAAACACATTTTGTCTCTTGGTCTGTTAATTGTTTTTGCAAATTGCCAATAGTTGCTTTAAGATTTGCGATGACACTTCGCTGACGAGTACATTCTTCACGCAATTTACGGGCTTCTGTTTCAGCGCGTGTTGAACGCCGTTCAGTACCATCACTGAAATACTCACTGAAAGTTTTGTTTTCCAACAACTTTATCAACAAAATTTTTTTAATAATACAGATAAGGAATTTGCAGAAACGATTTTAAATAAATGTAATGAATGAACATACTCATGAGCAATTGAATTATCATTTCCACTTGAATATGAACTATGATCTTCTGAAAGGCTTGATTGTTCGAGACGTGCTTGCATTCTTCTAAATAAAATAGTGGACATTAACCGACATATAAATACTGATATAATACTGAATACAAAAATACTGAAATTATTTAGAATTATGAATTCGATCTAACTTTTTTTGGCAACTTTGGCCATTTTTGAAACGTATGGTAAGGAAGATGAAATAAATTGGTGCTTAAAGAAGAGGAAAAAGTTACAAAAAAGATATTACAACACTGAAAGGAACTACCTTTTTTCTGCTTCTAATTGATCCATCCGCTTTCCGAGAGTATTGAAAAGTGATTCTTGTTCATGTTCAAGAGCATTTTCCAAATCAACTTTTTCTCGACGTAACTGTTCCAAAGCCTGAAAAGTTTAACCTTCAGTTTAATATTTTTTCTTTCTTTTTCTTTGTAATTTTCCGCTTTAAATATAGCTTTTGTTTTTACACTTTTTAAACAATGATAAAGGAATAAACCTTCAAAATTTATCATATACGTCGAAATATTATTTAAAATCCTGCTAATATGCAAAAAAACGTACAGTATGGTTGGCACTTATTTCAGCTTCAAGTTTTCGTATTTTCACAAGAAGAGTATCGACTACCCAACTTTGTTCAGCTTCAATTTGTCCAGCCAATTCATCGCGTTCATTTTGCAACTTAAGTATAATTATAAGGAAAAGTATAAGTTTGTAACTTTTCATCTTAAAAATTACAAAATTTAAAGATTAATTAGATAAAAATTGTCAAAAATCACCTGAGAAAGTTTTCGAGAAAGATCGTTGGTCAGAAATTCTTCTTCCTGCTCATATTTAAGTGCCAGTGCTTCCTTATCATTCTTAAGCTTTTGGATGCGTTTTAGTAACATATTTGATATAAATTCTTCTTCTTGTTCAGCTTTAGCATGCTAAATAATTGCCGCATTGCTGATTTCAACTTCGATAAGAATTTTAGATTAATAAAAATTTTATGGAAATTCAAGTTCATTTTTCGTAAATTTTATAGAAAAATAGAAAAAGAAAGAAGTTTTTGAGATTCCATTGGTTCCAACTATTATTTAATAAAAATGACTTAATAAATAAAAACTAACCAGCCTAACACTTTTTTCACGAATCGTTTGATTAAGCTGCAAAAGCGATTCATTTCGTGAGCGAAGACTTGCAATTTCATCCTATAATTAATAATAAATGCAAGAAAGATTCCATAATTGTTATCGCCAAATTCTCAATATTCTAAAAATTTGAAAATTAATGGAATAACTGATGAATTAAGGTACAAGTTTGGCATTTTCATATTCAGTATTTCGGCGAAATAAAAATGGGCAAATTATGTTGAATATCGATTCTACTAATAAACCTTCCTAGCACAAGATGTAATGCTCCAATTAACTGTTTAACTCGTAAGAAAGCCACGTTTTTCAAATTGCCGTCATAATGAAGAACAGAAAAAAGTGAGAACGAAAAATAAGCAGATCAAGGTATAGTTAGGCGGGTCGTGCGTTCAAAATTCTTCTATAACTATATTGAACAAAGTCTTGATTGTTTCTCCCTCTCTTTTGATGCTGTTCATCACAAATAGCGAAATATATATCAAATTTTGGAACGAACTGTTAAGAATATGGTCTAACCAGCGTAGGATGCGCTGTAACGATTTATAGATAATATTCGAGTGAGCCATTTGAAATTCTATCCACTCGGTAGGCGCGTAATATGCACCTTAGATAAAAAAGGTCAATGGTCTGATACCTCTCTAAACCCACTCACGTCCAGACTTTAGCCATGTTTCGCAGCAGCATAACATGATTACGCACTGCAACTAGATAACTTCCATTTTAATAGTGATTTTATGCCGATTCCAAAAAGATTTCATAAGATAAAAAAGCTTTTGGCTGAAAATTTGTCTTTCATTCAGTTATTTGGTAAAGGAGTGGAGCAGAGCATTTAAAGTCTTGAAATTTTTTTAGCTAATGATAAATGGAAAAGAAAGGTATCTTAGCTAGTATGTAAGAACTTCCTCTCAATTACATTGATAAAGAATCCGATTTTTATTACAAGTCTAAGTATTAAAGACAAAAGAAGAAAACTGCTGATAAAACTCGAAGTTCCATAGGCCATTTGATATTTTTTTTAAATGGAAAAAAATGCCACAACTAAAAAGGTTTTTGTAAAATTATTATTATAAAAATTGAGGTGAACGACTATAACAAAGTAAGATGAAAATGGATCTGAGCTTTTATCGAAGTTTTAGAGAATATATATAAAAGGAATTTTCAAGCAATATAACGATGCTTGGCTTAAACAAGCTAAAATATATATATTTTAAAATATATTTAAAATATTGAAGCAAAAATGGAAATGACTTATACCCCACATGATCACCATGAACAATTAAATTATGATAACAGACGACAGTTGTATAACGAATATTTTTCTTATGTAAATCAAACAAAAAAATTTTTCAAAATAAAACAAAAGGATCAAAGTAAAGCAAAAATTACCAACATTTTTTGCATTTTTTTCATGCACAAGTGAAACAGCTTTCCTGAGTAAATCGTCATAACTGACTTCCGCACGTGGTACTTTTCCTTCCATAATAGAGATCAATTTTTGATCAGACACGACATCAGACAAAATCTCTATCTCAAAATATCGACAACATTAAAATAATGATTGAAAAAGAAAATAAAAATAAAAAGAGACCTGAAGAGACGCTAGAGAAAATGGTTTTGAAGTTGGAAGCCTAGTTCGCTCATTTTCTTCATAACGCGCTGCAACCATGTTTAATTAAAATGTGAGAATAAAGATAAGCTAAAAGAAGCAAAAAAACAAAAAGAAAACGAAACATCCATCCATCCACTGATTCGACTTTGATTATTTTGACGCAAAAAATACTTTAGGAAATACTTTGACAAAAAGTTAATAAAAAATAATTTTAAAAAAAGAATAGAAATTAATAATGGAGAAACATAACCTCTTGGACGACGAGCGTGCCTGATACGAGTCAAATCACTCGCGTTCGATGTTCTCTCAATCTTCGAACACAAATTATTCGTACTTGAAGATGGACAATCCGAACCTGCTCCACCCGACATCTAAATACATATTTTTAGATAGTAGAAATATTTATATGACCATAATAACGATGGAACAATTGCTTATTCCGAATTTAAGACGTTGAAAAGAAAAAAAAACGAATTTATTCGTAGAAAAAGTTTTCGAGAAATTTAACGAATTAATGAAGGAATGTTTCTTATTTCTCTTATTTCTTTCTCTTCTATTTCTAGCTGACTTCACTGACTGAGTGCAGCTTTATTGCTGGTAAGCCAATAAGAGATAGAAACAGAGGTGCGTTAACAGCATCCAGAATTCATTCTTAATAACATATTTATCCTTTCAGCGAAGAGGAAACAAACCTACTCTGCACAATTTCAGCCAAAGCAACCCACTCTTCGGCTGCCTCATTTCTTCCTTATTTATCGTCTCAATTTCTCTCTGACTCTATCAAATTTTTTATTTAACATTATTCAAGGATCAAAAAACAACAGAATTGATGACTTTAAAAGGAATCCATAAAATCATTTCTATGCCCACATAATTTTTTAAGAAAAAAGTATTCGCAATTAAAGCTGCTTAGTATAAATAAAAAAATAAATAAATAAAATAAATATACATATATATATATATATAAATAAATATATTTGCACTGGGATACAAGATGTTACCAAAATTTAAACCCTTCTTTTAAGACTCCACTTAACTTCATTTCTTCATTTATTTATATAAATCTCTTTTTCACCAGTGGTGGTTTGGATTATCCTCAACCTCGAGACCTTAGCCTTGTTATTTTCCATGATTTTCTGGGGAATCTAGGTTTGGAAGGGTATAGTCCATATACTGCGCAGAAATTCCTATAGACAATATTTATATATATGTATACACATTTTACGTATAATAGCCATCAAGCCAAAGAGTACAGTTCGAATGGACTTTGTGAACAGCACCACTACTTAAAACTCACTACTCATATATATAATCATTCAAGATAAGACTTAAGGTCTCGAAGACCAATCTGAGCCTGGAGTGACTACAGGAAAGCCTATGACCCTATACATGGATTTGTGTATAGAAATCAACAAGATCCTAAAAATCTCCATCGAGAGTTGGGGACTGTGGAAAACAACTTGAAATCAATTCAAAAGTTTACGCAAGTGATTACGAAGTGAGGCATATATGATGCACTGTTCTATTATTCTGTATAGATCTACACACCTCAGCCAGATAATCACGAGAAATTGATATGGATACAAGTTAAAGAACGGAACTACCATCAGCTATCTTCTCTATAAAGATAACACCATGTTAAAAATGAGATATTTACTCGCTCATTTATTTAACACGAAGATTACAACGAGATCGCTGGGATATCATTTGGACTGGAGAATTATGGCCGGAGGCCAGTAGAGAAGAGAAATAACTAATGGGATGGAACTTTTGGCGGAGATACTATATGCACACCGACTATATCTAAAAATACCTTGACATCCCACATGAAACCACAAAGCAATATTTAAATAAGCCTGATCTTGAAGAAACAGCTCAGCCCACAATAAATTTATGCAATATACATGTACGCTCGGTCAATCTTCAGATTGCAGTTGTACTGCCATAATGAAGTGGTCGAATGAAGATAAAGAACTTCCGATGATCTTCCTATCTTATAATTCCAATAGTAAAATTGTTTTTTTTTAAGAGTCCTCACCATTACTGGTTAAACTCGCTCCACTGACTAGTCGCAATTGAGCAATATGCCAGGGAATCCCTTGGTCCAGCATCACCCAGATTTTTATACAGGTTTGCTTCTACAGGAAATCGAACCTCAGAATCGATGCTCCCAATTGAGCAACAACCCACTGAGCCATTCTATCCCCAGTAAAGCCTCGTTGGACGATTTCATTTCTGATTATGAAGATTATATAATAAGCGCGGTGCATTACTCACAATTAATGCAGCGCAGTATACGTATATTACGTATATTACAACGAGCAGCGATTCTTACCAAAAAATATTCATGTTTATCATATTAATTTTACTAGAGATATTAACAATCTATTGATGTCGCTGAAATCGTTCGATTCTGATTTTATTAACTGCTTTCCACTAGGCTAAATAATATATTGGATGCGATATTTCCTCCAAGTCTGTCTACTCATTATGTTTTACGTATATTGAACCACTTTAATAGTGGCAAACAGCAACTTTAACGATATTATAACATGAATTTTGGGATGAAATATTTTAGAGATTTTCGTCCTTTCACTTCTCATTTAACTCACGTAATGCGAAAATAGACTGGAATAACAAATTTTCTTTTTTAATTCGATCGATTAAAAAAAAATTCTTAATAACACAATATAAAATCTCATAGAAAGACGACTAATAACAAAAAATACAACAAACATATTCCAAGTATCTAAGGTCAGTTTAAAAAATTATATGATATAAATGTCGTCTAACTCAATTAGGCAGTCGCTACATATGAAGAAAAAGTGAAATATTTTATTTCTGCAAATGCGATCAGGCAATTCTGAGATTGCTATTATATGCTAATAGTCACTTCCCCAGTATATCTGCGAATGATAGAAATATGAATGGCACACGGATTATTCATAATTCGATATATTGGTGTTTTAATGTAACTAAAGTCTGAACCATCTGCAAGCACTGCACCTTGTAATATTCTACAAATATTTCATTAAAAATATATAATCTCTCTAGCACTTCCCTTCTTTTTAATTTACAAAAGATTGATGTTAATCCAAAAACTTTGAAGTAATTCTATATATTTATTCAGTTCGATGTATTTTGCTAAATTCTATATTCTATTAAATTCTAAATTCTGAAAAGAAATGATGACGTCATTAGGAGACTAAAAAAATTTGCTCAACCATGGTAGTAGGATTAAGTGCAAAGAAAGACTGAAATTATACGGGTTAAAACCTTAAGGCTGAGATTAAGCAGGATTTGATATTTGATATTTGAAATTTTACATGGAAAATTTTACGGGAAACTAGATTGAACCAAGTGCGCTTGGCTTGACTGCAACTAGATGTGCTGAAGTTGCCAAAGCCTATTTGCAGGCTGAGAAGTCATTAAAAAGATTTCCATTGACATGAAATGATTGCTTTTCTATAATCTGGCCTGTACTTAGTGAAAACTTATTACTTCTCTTATTATTTTTCATTCAATTGCATTACTTATGCATTATTTTGATAATTATTTATAAATAATAGATTTTATTGCAAATCGAGTATTGCAATAAATAATGAAAATTAACTCTAAAAAGATCGGAAAATTATTCATTTTTCGCATAAAATAATGCAAAAAAATCAATGATATCGGTCTCAAGATAAACAAAAAGAAGTGAGCCAGCGCTTCACCCGGATTTCTAAAGCAGGTCTATTCCTGCTGTGTCGATGTCCTTTACAAATCCTTTATAAGTCTGGAAAACAATTTTATGATAAATTAATAACCTGCAATTCGGCTTGTCTCATCCTCACAACGACCCTAGCTTTACATGCACTCGCATAAGTTCCCCTCCAGGCATAAAACATATTTCAACGAGCCAAGCCAGCACTTTACTGCCACTCACGCGAGCTATGTTTAAGCACAAAATAATATAAATATAAAAGTATTAAATGATAATTTTGCATAATTTTAATAAGTTTATTTCATTGAAATTGAGAAAAAACTCATAAAAATTTCCATTCAACCAATTCCTTTCGTTTTTCTTCTTTCGTAAAAAATAAAAATTTAAAATTCTCAAATAAAATTGCATAAAAACGTTTCGAGAAAAACATAGATAACGACCAGAATTATTTCAGAAAAAAAGAGAAAAACCCCGCAAATTTCATTCATTTTAACCAACAAATAGCAAACACGAATACTTTAAAAATCTCTCCACAAAAGAAACGACAGAAGCAGTCAATTTGCAGCCGAACAACGAAACGTACTCATTACTTTTAATACGGTTGACTATAGAGAAATACCGTGTGAGCTGCAAATTAGTGAATCTGCCACATTTCTATTTGTCGAACCGCGCATCTTCTAAGGCAATTCCCCGACATCTCCCTCAGCTTTTCCTGCAAATGTTTCATCGGGTAGGCCGTAAGGGTCAGGAAATGGGCAGTTCCACAATCAAAGGCTATTACCAAATCGAGTGAAAACCCGAGTATTTTCACAAAATCCATTGACACATATGCAAAAGCAAGTCGAATTTCTGTCGATGACTCGTTGAAAATGAAAATAATTTCGAAATCGTTTACTTTAATCTCCAATATCGTCATTTTTGCAAAAGAATTTTCTCGTTGACGAAGAATTTATGGTCAATAGAACTGTTAAAGTGAACATTATATCATTTATTAAACATAAAAAACTGTGCAGAAATTTTTAAAAATATTTTAAATTTTGATAGCGAGAAAAAACCAAGAATGATAAAAACGAAACATTTGCGTTTCATTTGCGATCGATATGCCAAGAAATTTTCAAAAAATTTTGGAAAAAAGCAAATGAATTATCAGACAGTTCGGAAGAATCAGAAGGTCCGCACTGCAATACTCAGTATTCAAATTTTTTTAAAACAAATATTTGGTTTTTCACGATAAAAATCAAAAGACAAGCCAAAATTACACAATTTCTTTTTCATTGGTAATGATAATTTCTTTTTCATTAATAATGATAATGATAAAACATTTTGCATCTTCCGTTTTTGATGGTACGTAACCTTTACTTTCTTCTTCGGAGCAGCACAGAGCAGTCTCCTTATATGAAATAATTTATGTCAGTGCATGGATGTACCAGAAAAAACCTACAATCTCTAAAATTTGTCGAATTTTGCGACAACTCGTCCCGGCCTCCTCTCATTAATACTCTTAAAACCCCTAGAAAATTCATCATCACTTTCCTTTTTATAGCCTCGCATTTCCATGATGTCTTCTGCCTTAATAATATCTTTCTAGTTCGGCATAAACCATCGTTCAAATCTACCTAAACCTTAGAGCTGCGAACCTATTCATATCTTACTGATTCTGTGGAAAAGAACAAATGATTCATAAATGGTGTTCTATCATTACGACACATGCGAAAAATATATAAACTAGGACTAATCAGGATAACATAAGGAAGAGCAGTTATATTTCACTATTTTACTGCCTTTGGTTATCCCATGCTGATATTTAATACTGCGAGATATTTATTTTTGCCATAGGGTCACATGGAGAGATAAGTACAGGTGCAGCACCACCGGGATTTTTTAAGTTTGCTTCTGCTGTATGTGCGGTCCATATTAGAGATGTTCGATATGAATAAACAACCAGAAGGGTAATGAAAGTTACAGGCCTTCGAAGGGAATTACTTTAAATCCATTGAAAAAGTTGGGGAAATATAGCTCTCTATATCTTGTTAGATGCTTATGGATGTTGGGAGCAGAGTGATAATTGCCCACATATCACATGGATATCATTTGCTTATTGAAAATTCTCAATCACTTGTAGCAATCAATTATTGAGCCTTACTCGGAGCAATATTATATCCACTTACTATGATCCACAAATATTCCATAAAAACACTTTATAATCTCCATCTCCATCGGTATGAAATTCTCTGTCATCCTCTAAAATTTTTATTTGAAAAACCTCCTAAAACTCTGCTAAATACTTTCTTGGCACTCTTAAATTCCACTAAGCTTAATTCCCCTTTAATTCTCTCCAATATCTATTTAACATCGCTTACTCGTCGTTATACACTCCCTTAATATATCAACAAATCTAACACCATATTTTTTTTTTTGTTATTGCAGTTACAAATTATAAAATCGCAAAGGATAGCGATAATTAAGAGGTGATCAAAAGAAGAATACATGGATTTGGCCAATGAGAAAACTGGGTATGAGAGTTCGAAATGATATTAAAGTAATTTAACTAGTTCCGAGACGGCAAGAAATATACTAGGGTTCATAAATAATCCATTCGAAGAACGCATACTTTTACTAGCATGTTATTCCCCTCTTCTCATTTCAAACCTCTCAATTGGCATTATTTATCTTAAAAACTGAATAACGGCAACTGCTAAAGTTATTCAAAAAAAACAGAAAACTACAATAAAAAATTAAAAAACGTGAATGTAAATAATGAAGATCAATGAAAATTAAAAAAATAATTAACGCCAAGACGGTTGTTGATAAATATTCGCCAATGGATCCTGACCACAATATCGCCTTAAATAGAAAATTTTAGAAAACAAACCATTTAAAAAGGAGAATAATTAAATTAAAATTAGTTAGAAATAAAAGTTATAAAAGAAAGATCCCAAAAAAACGATATTTTCCGATATTCCTGTAGAAAAAAACAAAAAAATTACGACGTATAAGGTGTAGTAGTTTGTTGCGCAATAGGAATGTATGGATTCTGAGTGACACGAGGTGGAGTACGGAAGAATTGTGGTTCAGCTGTTTCAAAACCGCACATAGCTTGCATATTAGCACCTGGAGCTGGCATACCCATTTGCATAGCATTTCCCATGGCTTGCATACCACTTCCCAATGCTCCCAACGGCATAGCTTTACCCATATTGGGAGTAAATCCATAATTTCCTTGAAAAGCCGAGGCATTTATGTCCGTTCCACGCGAACCACCCATACCGACATAATCACTAAATCGTGATATATTTAAACCTGGACTTAATAAAACCAAAAATAAGTCTCAAAATTTCTTAGCTCAATTTTCCTCTTCAAAATTTTTCAAATTAATGGAAATGAGTTTTTCTATCGTTGACGTACTAAAAAATACGAAAATATTCTCAGACATCCATAATTTGGTATAAACAAATAAATCCCAATAAAAACTATAAAACAGACTAATAAATGAATAATTGACTATTATTATGATCAGAGAATTTCACCATTTTTGATGAGAATTTCAATGAACTAACTTAATCATCATTCTTGATGGTTGTAATCGCTCTTGAACTTTCTTCAGCTGCTTTTGTTGCGTGCTGCCTTCCCCCGGGTTATACGTGCCTAAAATTTATTGAAATATTAAATTTATTTGAAAGAATCTAACTATTAAAAGGATAAATGAAATTAAAACGCACAAAACGCATCTTTTTCCGATTTTTCTTGTTCATTGTTTCTTCTGTCTCTGTTTTGTTGCTCATCGTTTCTCGATGAATCACCACGAATTTCATCTGATCCAGCAGCAGCTAAACGCGCAATACGGCGGCGTTCTTAAGAAGAAAATTATTTCGACATCAGGAAAATTAATATTAATATTAAATATATATAATTATATAGTTATAATTATATAATATAATTATAATACTAACTATATATAATTATGTACTTTACTTACTTTACTTACCAGGTAACGAAAAAATTAATATGTTTAAATGAAGAAAGGATAATGGAGGCAAAACAAAACGAATTCTTGATTACGTTTTTTTTTAAAAGCCTCCCACCTTTCGTGGTTAGACTCGCTGCACTGGCTTACCGCACTGGATAAATATGCCAGGAACCCCCTCGATGACAGAAATACGGATGGATCGTTAGAAATAACCGGATTTTTCGACAGATTTAATCCCGCCGGGAATAGAATAGAACACCGGCATCGATACTCCGAATTCGAAGCAACAACCTGAACCATTCTACTCTCCTGTTTTTTTTCCGTCAGGCGAACTACCACCCCACGAAGAGCGGTGAATCGGTGGATTCGAACGTAAGCTCCTACTCTCTGTGGCAATTACCTTGCCACTGAGCCACCGACTTATTTCCTAAGGATGCTTAATTTTAAAACAGTGCTCACAAAACTTTATTATCACATCAATAGAAAATGAAAAATTCTCGAGCACAAAAATATTGATTACGAACATCCTCGAAAATTGAGAATATGATGGATATATATTCATATAAAAACATACCTCTTCTATTTTCTTTTCGCCTTCTGAGAGGTCTTGGAGGTGAATGATATGGCGGCTCACAGTAATAATCAAAATCTCTGCCACCTCTTCTAGCTGGGAAGGCAAAGCTTCTATCAAATTCACGTCGTCTAGCTAGAAAAAAAAATTAAAGTCGATTACATTACTATTCCATTGTAATGTTTTGTGGTCTTCCCATTTCTATTATTGTACCAACTTAGACTAAAGACACAGGCTATTCCTCACTTTACTTTTTAGATAGTTCAGAAATAAACAGAATCGGATTCTCAAATTATTATAACCTTTAATCGTATGAAAGCAATATTATCAATAAACGGTAACCAGAAAACAAGCGATAGAGCTGCTAGAGGAAATAAATGACCGCTTTCTGCAATGTATCAATCATCAGCATATAGGCAGATATGAGCCAGACAATAACCTGTGCCGGCTTCATTTAATAAATCCTCCCTCAAAGGCAACAGAACGAACATTGTGACCACAGTGTTACATTCCAAGATTTAATGGTTAGGTTGACCTCGGATTTATCAAGATGCATGAAATTTTTATCATCAGTTTTTTAGAGACTCATCATATCCGAAAGTTTTCAACCACAGCAAAAGTTGAAAAAAATAATTAATGGCAATTCTTCGTGAATAAAAAACCACGGTTCGATAACTGAGGTCATCTCTGAAAACTGACAAAGTGCAAAAAACGACATCAAGCCAAGTTATCAAAACATCTCAATGCAACGTCAAAAGTATCTTTGGAATAGCAAATAACTATTGGTTCCAATATTTCAAGAAATCATCTAAACCCACGAAATTCCACTTGGATACCAGGTTTCGGAAAAATGGCCCAAATGTCCAGTGCAACTATCAAAATTCACATTGTGGGAAGCTTTGAAGGAATGCATGACATGACTTTAACAAAGAAAGATTACTGAGAACAGACCTGGCCAAAAATGCCCAAAATGATCGAGAAAGTGAATCGAATCTAACTCTTGTTATATAGCTGCTTTTCCCTCGTGAAAGATTGCTGCAGTATAAATGAAAGTATCCAAACGAAATAAAGGAAAGCCATTTATTAAGCGCACGCAAATGGCCAATGAAGCGAACGATATTAAGAAGCCATCTATAACTATCATTCTCCAAGTATCTACCGAAGAACAGAATCTCAGATGACTCCATCCATTTTTGCCCAAATATTACAACATTAACAATATTATTACCACAAAGCATCATCTATAATGTTCACTGTCTATAACAAAAACTGTTTGATACATGTCAAACTTGGTGAAGTCAGACTTGAAGAAAAAGAGAAAAAGATATCTAATTACGAAGAACCAATCAATGCGCAGACCGACACATTTAGAGTTCGAACATCCAAAAAAAATATGGCATTGGATCCTGAGAAACGTCTATCCAAAGCACCCATCCAACAAAAGAAATAATAAATAATATGATAAATAATAAATAATATAATATTCAAGCAGATTTTCTACTTTATTGTATTATTGTCAAATGGATATAAAAAATAAATGGAAAATATTAAGGAACCTTCCAATGCTGTAAATCTGGACATATCATCCCAACGCCGTAAGCCCATATTCGCGTCATTCATATAGTGGCTGCTTGACTTTCTAAAAAAAATTTTTGAAATTATTTCAATAATAATTTTTCAATTATATTATATTGCTTTAACTCGTCTCTTGCCAAAATATAATGTTTAATTTTTCTATATTAATTTTGCGGATTGAATAATATCTTATGTTTCTGAACGATATACCTGTCTAGAAAAAATCCTAATGTGTTTCCTAGATCCTTAAAATGGTTTAACGAAATTAAAAATCATATTTTTCTTGCCATTTTTCTATACATCCACGATATTTCTGCATAAAAGAAGTTAAATTTTAAATCATCCAACAATCTAAATAATACTACAAATAAATCTAAAAGAAAAAATGATTTTTCAAATTCTGGTTGTAACCTTGAATGTTAAATTAACCCTTCTATTAAGATTGATAGGCTTCTCTAAACATCATCTAACTAGTAAATGCTAAAGTTTAAATAGTAAGGTGAAGAGACGAGATTTCTAAAAAACCGTAGATGTGAAAACAAAATAAATTGAAAATAAATTAACGGTAATAATATTTTGTTTTGATATTTTTATTGCAAAGCATTAATATTTTATGTTCCGGTTACTCATATACTCTATATGATCTTGCGAATAAAAAAAAATCAAAATAAGAAGCGCATACAAAAAAACATACTCAAAAGGATCGAAAGGCCTTGAATAACTTCCAGTTCTGAGTCGTCTTCGCATTCGATCCTCCCTTCGTGCAATATCACGCTCTCTTCTTCTAAAAAATGGCAACTTAAGGTGTATGCTTTTATTCAACCATCTTTTTTTTCATCAATAAAATAGAAGGATTTAAAAAAAAAAAACGATTTAAAAAAAACCAATTTTTTGAAAAACTGGTTTTTTTATTTTACCTAGTTCGTCGTCTTTTGCGACGTATTTCAGTTGTACGTTCCAACGCTGGTGAGCCAGAACGCTTTAAATTTGGATGCTCATTATCTGGTTTTTCTGAATTTTCATTGTTGTTTTTAACGTCAGAAGATGAATTTAACTCATTAGTTCCTTCGTTAGTTGTATTATTGGGATTTTTCTCTTCTTTTGAATCTGGATCCCTATTTTCATCGAGACCAGCATTCTCCTCTGCACTTTCAAATTTCATTTTGCGTTGATTTTTTGAAGGATTTAACTTGAAAGCTTTGAATTCAGTTCTAGTAAGCAAATCTTTAGTATCCCAACCTCGAACTGATGCTGAAATGAATCAAAGATATTTGTAAAGATATTTCAGCCATAATAAATACCCCATAAAATGATGTTATTAAATAAATAAATAAACAAAATGAATAAATGAATAAAATGATCAGCAAGATTTTTTTGCATGATTTTTAATAACAATAATACCAAATTTTGCCCGTAAAAACCTGTAAAGAATTGTAAAGAATTGCCTGAAAAGAAAAAAGCTTATTTGCAAAACAGTCCAAAACTTTCGATTAATGCAAACAATTATGAAAGCCTTAATCGAGCAACATGGATTTGACTAATGACGAAAAAACTGCAGGTAAAGCTTCAGTAAAATGACGAAATTTCAGTTAACTTACTACAAACGTAAAGTACTTTCAACCATCCTTTATCATCTTTTGGATCACCAAAATGTACATAATTATGGTTGCTGTGGGCAATAATGGCAAGTTCAGCCGAAGGAAATGTTATAAGAGCACATCGATTTCTGAAGTAAAGATTAAAATTTAATCGCAAAGCAAGGAAAAATTTTAAAAAAAAATTGAAAGTATGGACTTCAGAAGGTCTGTTCTAAATTCGACTGATTCAATATTGAAATTCTTGAAAGCAATGTTTCGAATCATATCTTCTGTTATGTCTTCAGTTAAAGATTTTATAAGAAGTTGACGCATCGTAACAGGAGGTGACCGTACACGGCCCAATCTACTATTTAAATCTTCTTTGTAATCCAACGTGAGTTTTGCTGCAAAAATATACTTTAAATGGAGAAAATATATAAGGTAATAGGAAAAACCAGAAATCAGAAGCAGCGCATCTATCATTGAAACCAGTCAGCCAAGGAGACAAAATACAAATACGAAATATTTCTCCTACTGAACCTTTACTTACTCTGCGGAAGGAATATTCTGAGCTGACGAGCTTTAGTTGTTCTGATATATACGAGATAGTTGATTACGCAAGATGCCATTGCAGTTTCATCAGAGAAATATAGCTTAATTCGACTATAACATAAAACATTAATATTTTATGATTAAAAAATATTATAGGCAGCGCAAATGAAAATCAAATCTTATCTAATAGTGCCCCTCAAACGAAAAAAATGTATGCAATTTTGTATTTTCCAGAAATCTTTTTTAAATATAAATTAACTTTCGCCAATCTATATAATGAGAAAAATGCTTTACCCAACAGAATCCTTCGGATTATCTTGTGCAAATAGAAGTGGAAAATTTGTTTCGACCAATCTAGAACGCATTAAAATTGGATAAAGCCAGGGATTATACAAATCGCAGACCAAAGCTTCACATATAATAAGTAAACGTCGTTCTGCTGCTGTTCGACATGCTATAATACAAGAAAGATGAAGAAGGATGAATGCAGTACTTTCTAAATTAGTTTTTTTTTTGATAAATATTAATAAATAAGTACTAATTTCAAAATAAAGTCAAAATTACTGCTTTTTCTCTGCTTATTATCTGAAAATCGATGCTCCAATAATATTAAATAAGAAAATCTTATGAAAAAATTATACCACGCCACTGGAAGCACGGTGCACCAATCAGATTGATCGGCAAGTTCAAATAATGTTCCTCATGCGAATCAAATCGACTAATGCTACTTGAAAGGTTCTTTGAAACGTTTACTGATGATTCTCTTCCTTCTAAATATACTGAACATTTCTTATTTAATATTATAGTAGAAAAATCATATTTAATAACATAAAATATTAATATTTAATGAAAAAATTCCACATAGCATCTAAAATACAAATTAGCCGACTTAATGTTTTAATCACCTTTATATGAAAAAATGAACCATCTGAAGGAAAAATGTTGAAAATTATTTTAAAAATTTCTATCTTGCTAATTATATAAATAAGATAAACATAAATTTTTTCAGTGGATGGCAATCAGTGTTGAATTTGTAAACGAATGATTTACTCAGTACAGCAAAACTTTAATTTATCATTGGAAAAATATGATTATTTCGACTAACTTAGCTAAAATGACTAATGAGCGATTTATTTCTTCGTGAATTTCCACCATAAGCAGGAAGAGAAATTTGTTTTCAAGCAATTACCTTTCACTGCCTCGTCTAACTTAGATTCGCTTTGTATGACAGCGTTATCTTCCTCATTTAAATTAGTTGTAGCATAGAATGGAGCATCATTTCCAGCATGATCCATATTAACTTTGCTGGAACTATTCCGAGGCTCCTTGCTATCCGTCGTATTATCAATTGTATTATTTTGAGGAGAAACTGCACTAACAGTTACGCCAGCTTCTCTAGATTCATAGTCTTTATTACTATCCGTAATTAAAGATTCTTTATTCGTAGATTTATTATTTTCATCACAGTTCTTATCCAGTGATGCGACATTTGAACTGGCATTATTAATACCCAGATCTATGTGATCAGGATCACAACTTGATGCCTGGTTATCTAAATCCATCGTTTCTTCCACAGTGCTTTTCACAGCGCTATCTTCAATGACACGAAGAAACTCTTGCGGAATCTCTGTGATATCATCAATAGTTGTTGGTGTCTCGATTTTCGACTTCTGCGCGATAACACGATGCTTGTGCACGCGAGAGCGAAATGAGACAAGGCATCTGCAGCCATTTTCCTTCAAAAAATTTCATGAATAATTTTATTTATCTACTTATTAACGTAGAGGTAAGCTATCAATAAATCGTATAAATCTGATCTTTTTATCGGTTAAATTATTAATAATGATATTTTATTGACTAACATCAAAATCTGAAAAATAAAAATCAGTGAAAATTTTTGATTTAATGCAAATAAAGAGAAATAAATTTTAGAAACGAATGTTCATCATATTTTAAAATATAACTTTTTATCTCGCCTCAAACCTCAGTATATTCACTATATCAATAAGAAAGTTACAATGATAATGATCGACTTTTAATAGAAAAGATTTTTACTGAGGTTCAAAACTTTTATTACATTTAGTATATTAATTATTTACCAAAATTTTCCAAATTTATTTTTGCCTTTAATCTTATAATTTTTAAAAGTGACTAATCTGCAATAAAAAGACTGCAATGAAAAATTTGATCATCCCAACCAAAAAAAACTAGCTGAAGAAAAATTTGAATAAAAACTTAATTTTTAATAAAATTTACAAATTTACAAACAAAAATTTGTAATAAAAACCTAATCGACTATTGCTTTAAAAAATTATTGTAAAATATGCTGAGCTCTATATTTTCATTGACAACGGAATTTTGCAAAGAAATATGGAAAATAAAATGCTTGTTAAGAGAACCTGATTAGTTGGATCGGTTAGTGGACAACAATAGACATTCTCAATTGTATCATCCGATAAACCAAAATTTTTCTCAAACCATTTGCATATTGAAACAGTATACATTTCTTTGGGTATAGTTAACCATTCCGTTGGTAAACCAGATACTAAAACTATTCGAGCGATATCAGTTGATTCTTCTTTGCTACACATTTTAGGCAAGGATTTTCTGAAAACTAATGTCAAGTTATTGAAGAAATTAAAAAATCATCAACGTTCGAAAGCCGCCTTATCATAGAAATATTTTTAATTTCTATTTTGAAGCATAATATATTTTTTTTCAAATTTTTCTTTTTCTATTTAAATTATTATTCATAAATATTTACAATTATAATCAAAACTAAAATTACCTGCCCTGAATATAACTTATATAATTTGTAGTAATTCACCTAAATTACTAACTGCATAATAATAAACTGATTCTAGCTTTCCTTTAAAAATGGTGCGCTTATCTTATTCGCTTCATATACAAATTTTTCAGAAAAATATAAAACAGCAACAATCTTCACGTCAAAAGGAATTTGGTTATTTTGAAATGCGATATTGAACGACGCAGCACAATTTGAAAAGCCATTTTGTGCTTCTACAAACTGTAAACGTCATAATAACAATGAAAAATATTTCTCTCCTGTATTCCATTTTAATTTATTGTTTTCGAATCTTAGCATACATACTCCTCCTTCTCAATATTTTTCGAAATGTTTTTGCTACTCGAGCTCAGGCACGTTTTCATACCAACGAAGTCCCAATAATTCTTCTCGACCATTTTCAAATCCTCAAAATCCTAGTCCCGACTAACTTCTTTTATTGTTTATACTATGATCGAGACGAAAGTGCAATATGACCTTTGACAGCTGAGATAGAGTGAAAGAATGTATAGAAAAAGGGTAATAAAAGGGTCTTAAACGATTGAAATGATAAAAAGATTAAAAATGATGGCAATGGATTATGGCAATAAAATCTAGAGGACTTTTGAAAGTGTTGAGAGTATAAAAAACGGAATCTGGCCACCTTTTCACAAAGCATGAATGGCAGTTTTATGAGAACATCAAAGCATTTCAATCCTGCAGACCTGGATTTCGTATGAAGAATGACAGGCATTTAAGGACATCCATTAATTAAAAAGTGGAAATGAGTATTGGCACCACTGCATGCTACTGTGGTGGAAATATAAATCCTAGAAATTAATACAAGGGAATCTGAAAAAATGACATATTAATATTATTACTTTAAAAAAAACTGGTACAGTTTAACGAAATCAGAAATGAAAAAAATTTTGTGGTGAAGAGGTCTATAATAAGTTCTGAGGAGTTTGGTAAGAGCTTAAAAATTTGAGGATTTGAGGGATTAATATAAAGGATGGTTTAAGATTTAATATATATCAAAATAGTAAGGTTTGATGGAGAAAATTAACGCTTTGAAGTAATGACGTTGTTCTAAAACGTTGTTAATACCTTTTAATTATTAGTGAGACAAGCTTTAAATAAAGCATAAGGAAAACAGGTCTTGAAAGGTATGAAGATTAACACAGGATATAAAAGGATGTAACGGATTAACCATCAACTATCTCAAAATAAAAGAATCGGGGACAATGAGCATTTCAAATCGAATTATTGAAGCACTTCATTAGCATAAATATCGATGACATCTCTGGAACGGATGATGAATACTGATCCCAATTAAAGGCACATTTCTGAAAATTAGCCACTTCCATATTAAATTAGTAGGAAATGCGTTATCTGGATATCGGAAGCAATCGTCCAACTATCTGGAAGGCTATCACAACATGAATGTCACGAGAACTGATATCGAATGCTTCAAAAAAATTACAAGAACAGCAGCGCGGCGGGATAGACATCAGAGGGATATGGCCTTGCTCACAGAGACGTTCTCGATTAGGAAACTATTCCACCTTCTTCATAAAGTAACTATAACTGATCAATGAAACGATATCGGATGGTAATGGTGTTAATGATGTCCGTTAAGGCTATTAAGGATCATGAGATAGAACGAACTCTTTGCAACCAAATTTAACCACGATGTGCCACCTGTTGTCCCGGATATAGCTGATCCGCTCGTCCAGCCGTATGTTTGCAATTGCGACCCATCCCTCAAGGCCAATAAAATTCCCAGAAAAAACAATCTTCAGTATGAACTTTTCAAATGTTGTCTATCGTCCTTCATATCACACTTTCAACTAATGTACGGAAGAAAGATATAATACTGAATAATTGGAGCAAAACAATTCTATTCCCAGTTCCTAGGATATTGTGAAATTATCATTACCTAGGAATCATCCAAGCTTATTAGGCATCTCCTGGAAAATTTTCGTTGCTTTATTACCGAACAGAGGATCAGAGCAGTACGAGATAGGATGCAGAATGCAACTTAATCAAGCTGGATACAAACCGGACGCGGCTGCGCGGCTGTGATAACTAAATATTCATGTTAAGAAGAATTGTGGAATATTAAAATAAATTTTTATTAAAATATTAGCCACTCACTTGTTTCACTTGTAGCTATCTTCGATTCAATTAATAGCGCTTTGGAGAATGATGGAATGTAGCGATATTCCAGAGACCATTCGACTCACAAAAAAATTTTATCATCGTATATCAGTACAGGTCTGTGTACATGTGGAAATAACAGACTCTTCGAAATGAAAACTGGTGTCCTCTATTCTATTCTTTCTTTCCTCTATAATATTCAGCTATGCGATAGACTGGATTGGATAATGGACTTCATTTGTCGGCACTCAAGAGGTATATAAATTAGTCCAGAGTATAATACCATGGTTCTTTAATACGCTTGTATTAACAGTACCATTAAGAGCGTCGCCTTTGTGTTAGAACACGTCCTTCGCTCACCGCCAGGATTAACATATATTTCGTTGTCTATAAAACCCTGTGATGGATGGCGTCAAAAACAAGAGGAACCAATCAAGATCTGGAATGATACAATCAGGTAAGTTTTCAAACGTACAGGTGGACCAATATAAGAACTCAGACGATGGAAAAAGGAATAAGCGTCAACGATAGTGTCGAACCCAACAGCTTGGAGATATCCTTGTAGCCAACAAAGCCAACCCAGTAACGGATTAAGGCAATGCATATCCCAAAATCTTTTGACCTCAAATTAAAAGAATCAGCTATTAACTAAGCTGTCAAAGCAATTAAAGGCGGTGGCACCTCTGGAATGGGTAATGAGTACTAGGGGAAGTCCTCAGAGATCAGTTATGGCCCAAGACCACTTCGAAGAATACAAGTCGGACGAAACGATCCAACTGCTCACCATACTGCCAAAGCAATGCATGTCAAGAGATTCAAATTATAGGCAGTTCGATAGATACATGGCAAAACAGAACAAAAACCAGTACTCTAAGTTTACCGTCCTGAATATGGAAAAAAATCAGCTCCAGTAATTCAAACTATTTTGCCTGCTTCGCAAAAAAAATCATAGCTTGAAAAAACGTCAGTCGAATGAACCGAAAAATGATGCAAATTCTGCTCGATTTTCAGACTGTCTCTATCTAAAATGGACACAATTTAAACTTCATCTGAAGCACGGCGTTAAAAGCAAGAAGGATCAGCAAACGACCAGGATTTGGACAGGGACATGTGGATGCATAATAGGCCCAGCGAGTGGCTTCACTTCAGAGATGGCGTCGGATGCTGAAGAAACGTCTTACATCTCTGGCGCCAGTGAAATAAGACTAAGACAAACGAATAGTGGTGCGACTTATCAGAAAATTATGTTTCAAAAGTAAAGTGGTATTTGAAGATGGAAATTTAAAGGAGGATAACTGTGTTTAAAGACTAGAGGGCTGGAGGGCTATTTAAAGCGGATCTGCATTTTAATGCAATTCGGCCAATTATAAAGCAAGTAAATGAGTTAGTTTCTAAGCACACCGTCATATGTACTAACAGTGAATTGATAATAATTGATTAAATAATTTCTTTTATAAATGCTTTCTTTATAATAAAAATAATTCACATCGAGCAACAAATTAATTCTAATTTGCTTTCAATCAATAAATTTCTAAAACAAATTTTTATATTTTTATATAAACTAAATTATTTTCTTATCGATTAACTGATTGTTCAAAGGAAAAAGAAATATCAAATAAGGCAACAAACAAATGAAATTGAAAAAATGCAATTTAAAAATGAAAAGAAAAAGAAATTTAATCAATAATTCCTATAAAAAGTAAATAAAAATAAAGAAAAAAAAGCGGTCCGATAAAAATTCATCGGAAGTTTTAGAAAATCGAAATAAAAAATGGAAATCCGAGCGAAAACTAATCGATTGGCAAACTAACCGTCTCTTCCACAATATTTCAGGTAAAAACAAAAATAGACAAACATCGTAGCATTTTTACAATTGGCTTATGCAATCTATTGATTTTCCTCATTCGAATTTCTGCATTTTAAAAGTTTTTACAAATCAGCTATTATGCGGACTTGATATTATTTGATATCAAACAACTGAAAAAAATATACGTGGAAACGTTCAACGTATGACATCCTGGATCGGAGGTGGGGTGAGGGAGTGGTCGGTTATTAACCATATTGTCGTTAGGGATTTCGCTTACGACCGGAACAAACTTGCCATTGAAAAATTCGTGTGGACCCATCGGCGACGTGATTCCCTTGCAAAAATGCCTTACTGTTAGCAGTTAAAACTAGCATGATCAGAAATGGCCCATTTATTTGTTTGGTTATATCCATATTCAAAGAGCAGCGTGGCTTGTTTGTGTTACAAACACTGGAGTATTATGGACTATATTTGCTGTTGGAGGACAATACTCCAGGCAAAAGACGAAATCGCAACCCGGATAACGGCAGCTAGAAATGCGTTCTTCCGGTTGACGAATTCTTTATGGAGCAGTCGCGAAATCACCACAAAAACGAATGTCCGTGTCAGTATAGCTGCGATTAATTCGACCTTTCTATGTGGCTGCGAAACATAGCCAATGAGAGAGAGGTATTAAGAAGTTATTCTAGTTTTGGGCGCTCATGTCTAAGGTACATTACGGTTCGCCGAGTGGATAAAATCTCACATGATCGTATCCACTTCCGTTCAAATACCATCGCCTTCGCTGGTTAGAGCACGTTCTTCGTCGCCCATCACAGGATACATATTCCATCACTTGCTAAGCTCCTTTGATGGATGGCGTCAAAAACGAGGTGGACCAATCAAGGCCTGGACTGGCACAGCCAGGAAAGATTTCGAACGTTTATATGGACCGACGATATATAGACTTAAACGATGGGAAAAGAAGTGGCACCGCGCAGTTTGGAAACGTCTTACTCTTGTCGCCAGTGGACGCGGCCAACCAGTAATGGTGAGAGCTGTTGCAAGACGAAGGCGGGAATTCTGCGCACCGCACACCGCCACATCTCGGTTGTGCTCGTGTTAGAAAGACGATTCTGCTTGCCCATTGGATGAATCTTTCTATTAGCAAAAGGCGACGAAGCAAAATTTGGAAAACAATTCCGGTTGAAATAAAAAGTAATTGGTACTTCAATACTCAAAAAATTCCACCCAAATTATTGAATAAAAGAAGAAAATTTTGCAAAAACTAAGAGTTTTTGTTTAAACAAAATACAATAAAGAAAACCAATTATTTATAAATTAGCGAAAACAAGTAGTCTGCGTTTTAAAAATCGCAAGAAAGCAGTAATAAAGCAAGTTAAGTCAAAAATCGAACATCAGAAATCATTTTCCGCAGAGAAAGGCAAAAAATATCGATCGATAAATTTAATAAAATTATTCCAAACTGAGTTATTTTCAAAATTTTATAAACCAAAATTGCAAAAACCTTCATAGCAGTTTTTCGTATAATTTCGCAGCAAAGTTTAATGTAACAGTTTAACATAGTAATATATGCTTGTTTTCCGTAGAGGAATTAGCATTTTTCGTTGAATGCAGTTCGGTGGTTTGTCAGAGAAAATTTGGCGACAGTGGCTGCTGGATTAATGGAGAGCAGGTTTGCTTCCGATGCAGTATCGTCGCTCCGAAATGAGCAACAGCCCTCTGGGCCATTCTGCTCTTAACATTTGTATATAATTCCATAATTTACAAAAATATACCATAAAATGCCAGGGAAAACCAGAAAATATTTTTTAAGCAATGCTCTGGCATTTCTTAAGAGCAAAATCGTGTACACATATTTGCACCAAAAATCAGGAGCATGATAACAGGTGACCGTGCTGGAATTTCTGCGCTCAAACGACGCATAATCTTTCAAAAGGACTAGTACTAGTAAATTCTTTGTTGCCAAAATATTTTTGGTTTGGAAAGCACTTTCTTCTGACAGCTCTTACCATTACTGATTAGGCTGATTCAGTTGGCTACAAGGGTAATGTTTCCAAGCTGTTTGGTCCGATGCCATCGCTGAAAATAATGGAAGCCATTCCTTCTTCCATCGTCCTAATCCACATATCGCTGGTCCACCTACACGTTCAAAATCTTCCCTTTCAGTCGAAATTTACAAAAATATACCATAAAATGCCAGGGAAAACCAGAAAATATTTTTTATATTTTTTCCCTCCTCGCTTTCGGCGCCATTCATCATGGGATTTAAAAAGCAACAAAGTGTATAATTCAAGTTCTGTGATGGGTGATGAAAAAGTGCCCTAATCAGCGAATGGGTGCCCTGTTAATGCATGTGGTGTTTGGATGCAATCATGTGAGATTTTATCTGTTCGGCGAACTCGTAAAAAATGTATCTCAGACATTTTCGTGGTGACTTCATAGAAATTTCTCCAACCAGAAGAACGTATATTTCATCCTCGGATAGCTGCCATTATCCGAGTAGTAATTTCATCCTTCGCTTGGTTGTTTGGAGTCAGAGTGGATCCAAAAGATTTAATGTCTGCCATTTCCTCAGTCGGTGACAAATAATGAAAATTGATGTTCTTGGTATACAAGGCGAAAAAACTTTATTTATTCATTATGAGTCTGATTTTGGCTGCATGCTGTTTAGTATTTGTATTTCGTCATAAGCGTCATATTTGTGAGCGAGAAGGTCATCAGCGTATTCAAGATTCGAGAACCTATGCTCTGGACTGATCCATACACCTGCAAATGATATCCATTATCCAGTCTATTACATAGTTGAGCATTATAGAGGAAAGGATGCATGCTTAATGGACACCTGCTTTCACATCTATTTTCATTTCGAAAGAATCTGTTAGTTCTATAGACCTGTATTGATATATGATGGTACAATGTTTCTGAGTCGTATGAAAGGCCGCCACTTTCCATCATCATTCAAAGCGCCGTTCTATAAGTTGAATTGAAGATAGCTGCATAATCGATAAAACAAAGTACGTGTATTTGAAATAATGTTTCAACACCTTCTAAACGGATATCTGATCAGCATATCACGTACCGTTCTATTCAGTAGAAGGGTAGCAAAAATTTTCCCAGAGTTGCAGGCTGATTCCTCGGTAATTGTTACAATATATCTGGCATTCTGGTGTTTTTTCACTATAAAAGGCAAAATTTAGTTTTTGATTGGGGCTTAGCCCATCCCGAATACACAACAGTTTGATTTTTATCATAAGTTTTCTTTAACAACTTCGTGTGCAATCAAAGAATTATTTTATTATTATTATCTGCAAGTAACAATTAGGGTTGTCAAGAAGGAACAAGAAAAATGAGAATGAAAATAAAAGAATAAATTACGAAAAAAAATTTGAACTGCTGGCAATTTAAGTATAGGATGCTTTTTTTAGGTGAAGATGGTTGTCAAATGAGCGTTTAGAAAGACCAGCGGGATTTCGAGGTTCTAATGGGATTTGATTTGAGTATCAACAATTTTGTCCGTTTATTTCAAGAAAGAGTAAAACCACAAATTAATCCACAAATCGAATTGACATTAACTCTTCAACGTTAAGATTTTTCATTGCCTGAAATTAATTTGTCAGAAAAATAATCAAATTAATAGGCTTCAGTCTAAATCCAATTATAAAATGGAGCAATTGTAATTTATAGAGATAAATACAACTGGGAATTTTATTTATGGTGAATAATACGTCTTTGTTAAGCTCTAATGGAAAAAAAACTGAACGGTTGAATAAGGTGATTTTACGATAACAAATAAAAATTAGATATTCTATTAGTTTTGCAAGAAAGCAGTCACTTGCGGAAAGTTGAATTACATGATTTTATCCCAATTTATCCTCTGATAAACCGAAATTTCTTCGATTTATAAGTTTTGAAATCATGTAATAATATGAGAAATTATTTAATAAAAGTAATGATAATATGAGATAAGAAAAATACCCGACAAAATTCTTGGAATGATATTTTACCATTCCTTTCATAGTCACCTTCTTCAATCGTTCGATCAGTGATACATTCAAGCTAAAAGTAGAAAATTTCATAAATGATTGGTTTTAGCATTAAAAAGGTTATCATAAGATAAAAGAAATAAGAAAGAAAAAAAAGAAAGAAAAGAAAAAAAAAAAGAGAAAAGAAATGATATAAAAATTTGACTTTTATAAAATTTAACCATTTAACTAAACGGTGTCCCTGGAACTGACAAGGCTTGAATCTAGATTAAATCACTTATTACCCAAAAACTTAGTTATCTTTTTTTTTTCATTCTTACTAAGAATATGAATAAAATGAATAAATGAATATTCTTGATACGGAATTTGATGCGGAATTAATCTTTCGAATTTTTCTTAGACCTGTTCAGAAGTAATATTTGATCCAACCATCATATTGAGAATTACTTTAAATTCATTACGAGTAATGAATCCGCTTTTGTCCAAATCATACATCGAGAAAGCAACTAGAAAATTTTTGATAGAAATTATCATGATAAAGTGTTATAGGATTGTTTAGGAGTAGATTTTTAAAGGTGATGAAAATTTTTGAGAAAATGTGTGGCGAAAGTAATAGAATGCGTTAAAATGCTTTTCTTACATTTTAATTTAGCCTCTCGACTGTTTATTGTTGAATTTTTGTCTTCACTAGTAGGTCTAAAATGAGCCAAAACGCGGCAAAAATCATGAAATGTTAATTTCTTTTCAATATCGCTCCTTAAACAACGATATTCATGGTTATTATTAAAGATAATACTGTAAAGTGGCCATTAACTAATAGATAGAAACAATTAGTTTCATTGAAAAATACTTTTCTAGTTTCACCAAAGAAAATTTACGAACTTTTCAGCGAAAAATGCATCAATGATTCGATCACCCAAAGGATTCGCCTCCAATTCACGAATATTAAAAAAATCGTCTCGATCAAGATAACCTCGACCTTAAAATACTACGTGAATGAATATTTAACGAAACATAGCCACAGTTGTTGTAATATAAAATTTGTTTTAGCTCAACATTATTCAGTTTTTAGTCTTGAGATTCACATCGATAGTCCGAGAGGCATACCACTCTTCACTATAGTCGAAACTTACAAACATATTACAAGAGCGTAAGATCGTGATCACGATTATCACGATTGGCGCAAAAGTGTTAATAATGGTAAAAATGCGAAAAATTTAGTTTCTCGGTCTTATTTGATAGTCCGACTAGATTATGGAATGAATTAAATTTATGATATAAATTTATAGGTAAAATGAAACGATCAAATTTCATCAAACCTTGCTTATCAAGTGATATAAAACGAGTATTTAGACGAATAATTTGTTTCCTTGTAACTGAAAATTTCAAATTTATATGTTCATAATTAATTAGAAATTTATTTGTTCTTAATAATACTTACTTCATTAAATTTGTTTTCGCCTGTTTTTACCTTTATTACTAACTAATAATGGAGCAATCAAAACCATTCACAAAATTGCACATAAAATGTTCAAAAAATTAGTTTGATTAGTACATATCATTTCTGGTTAATGTGGCCTCATAAGGCAGAAGGAATTCTTTGAGGCCAAATTTAACCACGATGCACACAATCTGTTCTGTTGTATCAGACCTAGATAATTCGCTCTTTAAGCCATATGTTTGCCACTTCGAACCAGAATAGGAAATAATCTCTGTCATCCAAAAGCTTAAGGCCGTCCAGGAGAAGATGGTCTTAAGGTTGAACATTTCATTATTTATTCTTAATAATATTTACTTCATTAAGTTTGTTTTCTCCTATTTTTACCTTTATTACTTACTAATAATGGTTGAACTCTTCTAATATTCTCCACAATCGTTCATAAATCACCTTCAACAAATGTATTTTTTCATATGGAAGAAGATGACTGGAGCCAACCAATTCAGCTCACAACTTCCAAGAAGGATGACAAGACATAGAATTATTGGTAGAAAAATTAGTCTACTAGGCATCTCTGGGACAATTTTCGCCATTCTTCCACTAAATAGATTTATGACAATACGAGACAGGAGATAACCAAGCTAGATTTAGACCAGGTTGCGGTTGTACTTACCAGATGTTCACGCTAAGAAAGGTATATTGGAATATCGCTTCAAGTATCGGTAACCCATCATCACTTGTTTCATCGACTTTGCAACTGCCTTCGATTGGCATTTTGGAGGGCCATAGAACACAACTGTTTTCCAGGGAAGATCATTCGACGTACATGGGCTCAGTGTACATGTGGAACTAATAGACTCTTTCGAAATAGCTGGTTTCTATGAAAGATGTATCTTTTCCTCTAAAATGTTCAAGCATGCCGTATATCGGCACTTAAGAGGCATATAAATCAGTCTAGAGCATAATATCATGGATCTTGAATACGCTGATGATGTAGTCCTCTTTGCTGAAAATTTTGACGGTTATGAGAAATGCAAATGATACTAACCAATATGTCCAAAACTACAGCGAAAGCTGGATTCATAATGAAATTAAAGAAGTCTTTCCGTCTATATACCAGAAGCTTAAAATACATACTGTTACTTTTTCATACTGTTCTCATTTCTCATACTATTAAAATACTTTTTTATCAATTCATCAATTTCATTCCCGGTTGAAGAAGTGTCAAATTTTATCTCAGATCCACCCTAATCCAAATAACCAAATAAGGAATGAAATTGCACCCGGATGATGGTGACTAGAAAGGTGTTCCTGCGGTTGGCGAAACCATAAAAAACGAAAGTCCACGTCTATACATAGCTGGCATTCTCTCAATCTTGCAACATGGCTTCCTTTTTTATCTTCCTTTGACCATTCATGTCTAAGATATATCTTAAGCTTCGCATAAAAGGATAAAATCTCACATGATTACATCCACCGTAAAGTACCACTTGTATCAACAGTACCACCCAGATCATTCTCTGATTACAGCGGCGTATTCTTCACCTGCCACAAAAGTTGATATATATTTCGTTATTTGCTAGGTCATGTGATGATCATTAAAAGTGAGGAGAGTTAATCAAGATCTGGATTGCCACAGTCAGAAAAGATTTTGAACGTATTGGTGAATCAGCGATATATATGGATTTAGACAATAGGAAAAAGAATGGTTTCTCTTACTGTCAGCGATAACTTCGCATCGAACAGTTTGGAGAAAGGCAATCTAACTAATAATGGTAAAAGCTGTTGGAAGAAGATAGCTTCGCTGCCTAAGCTGAAAATTTTTCATTGACAAATTGATAGCAGATTCCCGTCAGGAACAACAGCGAAACGCTTGCCTCTCAGCGCAACAGTCTAAACCATTATCCACTCGGATATCTCCCACAGAGAACAAAGCTTATTTTTTGAATCATTCTGGTCCCTTTATAAGCGAAATTATTAAAATGAAAAAGAAAAGCGAAATGAAAATTTTTAATAAATTTCATATAGGAAAAACAGCTAATTTTTAGCATTTTTTTATAACGAACATCCAGTTTCGCTTGAAATCGAATGTATTTGATCTTCGGGTGGTATTTGCATTAATGTTCTGCAATTACCCATTACCTATCAGATTTTTGATTTGTGATGCTGAAATTAATGAAATTTTATTGCTGCTTAATTAAATAATACAAATTATTCACGAGAGATTTGATCGAGAAATTTTGGCAAATTGCTTACATAAATTTCATAACATTAATTTTACTTGTGAAAATAACCTTGCAATCAATTGCTTAGAAATTGTTCTTTACGATTATAAATATTATTATTGAGTAATTTAGCAAAACGTTTAAGTAAAATTGAAAATATAGTGATGGAAAATTTAATTTTAAAATAAGATAAAAAGAATTTTTGTTTTTATGAAATCAACAAAAGTAAACCAAAAATTAAACTGAAATATTTTTTAAATTTTAATGAGGAGAGAATATAATTATTTACAATAAAAATAATCATCCAGCGAAAAAAACCAGTTTTTTAAAAAGCAATTATCGCTCATTTCTTTCCTCAAAAATGTATAGTTTGCTTCGATAAAACTTTATTTTAAATAAGCAAACAGCTAGCAAACAAATTTATTAACAAATTTTGCTCTGCTCTGCTGGTTATTAATGAAGTTTTTGTCAAGGAGTCACTTAGCGATAGAAAAAGAAATGTTCCGCCATTATCACCAGGATTTTTTAATGATAAGCTTATCCCTATCGAAGCGAGAAATATAACTACTCACGCGAATCGAAGAAATTGTATACTTATTTTAAAGAAAGCAAAAAGTATAGAAATTTAAAAAATCATTATAAAAATTTGTTTCTTCTTTAAATTTTCCAGTTTAAGATCCTGCAATTCATTATTATTTGTTATTATTAATCAAATATTTATCGTAAATAAGACAGTCATCGCCAAGATAAATGATGAAAATTTGGCCAGTTTTTTAGCAGTTAAATAAAATAACTCAGAGTGGTTAAGGACTAATATCTCGTTAACTAGTTTTCCCCATTCAGATATCGCTCAGTTCTTGGTTGCTTTTATTTATGTAGTATTTGTGTAGAAAAAGCGAAATATGCATGAATACCAACTTATTTACGTTGAGACTTGTTAGAAATAAGGTACAACGAGCCGAGGTGAGACAAGCTTATTTTTTTATAATATTAATGTTGCACAAATTGAAAGATATAATACGAAATACCATATAAAAATTACTTACCAGATTTTGCAATTTTCATTCTATTTTTTGCATTTGAAGAGAAACAATATAATCATTTTTAGTGATATTGTAATTTTAATGCGAAAAAATTTTTTTAAAATTTAAAGAGTTCAATATAATAATAATTTATTTACAAAAAAATAGACAATAAAAAAGCTCTCTCACTCTGCACCCCCTTCTAAATTAAGCCAGGTGGATGGCTCAGTGGATTATTATTCTCATTTCAGAATGCCAATGTTATGCCAATGTTCCGTTTCTGTTCTCTGCAGGAGTAAACCCTTTATTAGAAAATTTGGGTAGTGCTGGCAATCCATCTATATTTCCATCGCCAGGTGACTCCGTTAAAAAAAACTGTCTGGTCTGACAAGTCAGTAGAACGAGCCTAACCAGAAATGGTAAGGACTTTTCATCATTAAATATCAATCAAATCGGTTAACAACAATCGTAATAACCATCGAATTCAAACGTGAAAAATTGTTCATTAAGTTTTATATTAAAATAGAATAAATCTCTCATAGCGATGCGTTAGAGTTATGAAAATCGGCTTTAAAAACTGAAATTAATTATCGAGCGGAATTATCAAACTATTCGAAATTCGCAGAAGACAAAAGAGAATTTGCACTGCCAAAATTTTCTTTGACCATCTATCATATATATTTTTCAAGAAAGAAAATTCTCAATAATAGATATTTCTTGTGAAATAAATGTGATAAAATTATAAATTATAAAAATATAAAAATTATAAATGTAAGGAAAATATATGAAAATATTAGAGCATAAGGAAATAAATTAAGGTGGGTTATAGCACCCATTTGAACATTTTATGAAGGTTTTACTCATGCCGAGAGGACAGAAGGGGCTCTTGCTTTTCGGTACAGTGATCTGCATCATTAAGCAAAAGACATGAAAGTACCAAATGTGATTTGAAATTTAAAATTCACTTCAGCAGCACTGGAAAAATGAATATGAATAATGGTATCGACGACTTAAAACAGTTTTATTATTATAAATTATAGCAATAAGAAAATCAACAATTAGGCAGCAACTGAGCAAAATAAATATTTTTCGTTTTTTAAAAATAATGGAAATGTATTTTTTGTTATTTGCTTCGTTACTTCGTTTTTAATCGTAGCGATTATTTCCCATTTTTCTCTTTTTTCTGCTACTTTTTCTAACAGATTTCCCACAATATTTTTTTCCTACTGAAATACAAAAATTCTTCATCAATTAACGTTATTTTTCTCTTCAAATCTGATATTTTTTATAAACATAGAAATCGAGTACATAAATAAATAAATACAACACTATTGTTCATAATAAATGCTATTTTGAATATCGCACAATTATTGATATAGAATTCCAGTGCATAGAACTCAGAATTTCAGAGCTTTCTCATTAAAAATTATTTCTAATTGTTCATTATTAGGCTACGTTTATTGGCTAGAAATTCTTGTTAGGGGGCTGCGTGACAAAAAATCTAATTGAAATAACCCGATTTTTTAAATAATAAACTCACTCTTGTCGTGATGAAGAAGAGGGGGTGGTGGGGGGGGGGGGGGGGGGGGGGGAGAAGGGAGTGGTGGGAAGAGCCAAACCTTTTCTTTTCAACACGATATTCTGAGTTATTATCCTCCAATCTTAGTTCTTGCATGGATCTGCTGCATTCATTAACTTGAAATCTGCATTTCCTCGATTGATGAAAACTAAAAAAGAAGAAATTTATGGAGGTAATTTAAGAGATGACTAAAATGATGGCAATTTTCCTCTTTGCGATAAATTTATTGATAAATTTCGAATAA